GACCTCTAGTGATCAAGACTAGGGTAAAAATCTGCCGAATTTCCCCTTTAAAGTTTGATTTCCCCACGTGGGTCCTACACAGTTACCCCTCAGTCTGTGTGACTCTTGGTTTGTTTGTAAAAAGTCAGTGTGAACACAAACCAGACCAGAACTAAAAGGCAACAATGAATCTTTTTTTTTCTTTGGTCTAGACCAAATGAACCAAACTACATGTGTGAAAGGGCCCTACGATTGCAACATTTAGGGCGCTGTCAGTCAAATCTTTGTGTGCAAAAGCTGGTGGATGAGACCAACCACATCAGCATTTCACATTCACTGCAGCTTTCTAAACCACAAGTGCACCTGTATCTACACAGCTTTGTTTCCATCTGTGTTTCTTCTACGAGGAGCTTTCGGTAGAGGGAAAAAAAGGTGTAGATTTAGGTAAATTTTCTCTTCTATACAGTCTTCTGACCTCAGTAGTTAGGGTTAGGGTTAGTCACTATGTTGCTACTGTTTTCTTATGAAGTTTTCTTGTTTGTCTTAGCGCTCTACTGACTATGCAGACCAAGAGTTTGACTGATAAGGGCCAATATCGTTATCTTCAATTCAAAGTTTCTATGAGAATTCACCATCTTCCACTGTGTTTTTGAGTGTTTTTTTTCTCAGCTTCCAGTTTTTGACTTTTCCTCCAATAATTGTATTTTTTAGAATGAAAACGTCCATAATAGAGCTAGACCTCTTTTCGCCTTAAATATCCCCTGAATTACCCTAAAAAAGGGGGAGCAAAGGGTATGCCCTTTGCTTGTGATTTGAAGGATTTTAACTCAGCTTTCCTAAAAATGCAGACATCCTACAAAGCAATACCACTCTAAATCAAAATGGCTTTATTCGCCAAATGTATACAAGAATCTGACTTGGTGGTACAGCGCAGTGAAACAAAAGAACTTTAAGTTAAGTTAAATACACAAATTATATACAGGTAAGGGTAATAAATATGCTGCTTTCAGCTTCATATGCACATATGGAACAGTCACTCAGAGCTACCTCGGGTGGAATCACTGATGTTTGATACAGAATTGTGAATAGTATACATGTGGTGAAAGATGTGGTTCTGAATGTAGCCAGCCTATACAGGTATTTCAGTTTATTTTTATGTATCACTGTCTTTAAACCTGGCCAAATTCATGATAACCAGTTTCCAAATGTTCAGGGTCCCCCCTGGTTTATTCACTAACTTATCAAACTCTTGTCAGGGAGTGACTTCCAGACTAATACAGTAGCTGATAAAAGACTTTGCCCGTACCATTTTTGCAATCCTTTGTTTTCAACACGACACACAGCACCACACACACACACACACACACACGTTTTCTTTGTTTTTATAGATTTTTGAGTGTATGAAAATCACATGTATTGTTTCTTGTTTTGATTGAAGCTGCTAATTAATTAGTGGAGCTTCATGCTGCTGCTGGTTCTCTCTTTCTATCTGGGTCATTTCAGGGTTGCATATTTTGTCTAATTATCCTCGGGCCTATTTGGGTCAGTCACCTACCTCCCCTTTTCTAAAGTAATTCATGTATGTAATGGGCCAATTAAGTTTTCCACAAGTTTCGGATTGAGAAAAGTACTGGCCAGCCAAATGCGTGGATGAGGATAAGTTCAGTTCTGTTTAACTGAGTCAGTCCACACCCACGTACATCTGTGCCTGCTTACAACTTTACTCATGTATTTTAATTACAGTCCACACAGATGACTGGACATAAAGTATTGGTTAAGTTGGTTAATACTTTCTGGTAATGCTGATAGTCCAATAGTGACTAGTTGGTGATGTGCGATTATATTAAGTTTTAAGAATGTAGTTTTCTCTTGAAAGCTCACCATGACATGTTAGCTTTGTTCTGTTGGAGCAGTTTTCTTTATAAGGTTATTCAATTATTTTGTCAAGATTTGTCCAGCATACTGTCTGGGACAGGGACAGCCACTTTTAAACTCACTTTTAGCTTCCTTTATGCCATTTGGTAGCAAAAGGGTGAGTAGGTATTGAATTTCTATAACTTTTTGGTAGCACTGCGTTTGTAACAGTGAAGATCAAAGGATACCCTTACCATAAGGGCACGCACGTTGGCATAGGTGTTACCCTAACCCTTACTTCAGCAATAACTGTGTTAATGTGATTGGAGTCACCCATTAAAAACAGTGAATGTAACTGGACAGAGGACCAAGAGTAATTAGAGCACGACTAACGGGATTTTTGAGACTGACACTGATTTTAGAGAAGAAAAATTCGCTAATTACAACATTTTTGAGCTTTAACAAAAACAGACCTTTTCTACGTTTGCAGTGACCCCCAATGTACAAAGCATTTTTTTCTGCATTATACACAGGGGAAAAAAACCGATACCACTCACTATAGGTGAAAAATACCCAAAGCTACCATAGTTCATACTTTCATACTATCTAGGACTACTTAAAATGCAATCACAGTATAGTCTAAATATAACCTTCGGTTTAAAATCTGCAATTTTATGAATCATTATGCCAGTGGTCCTTTAAAACTTTATCTGGCTGCCCCCATTCAAAAGCCAAAAAACTAAATGCTACACTACCCCCCAATTTTAAGCAGTAACTAATAAAAAAGGATCAAAGTAAATTTTTTGTGAAATAAAGGTCAGCATCAGCAAACTCTTGTTTATTTTACCTACATAAACCACATTCCCTCAGCTTAGCTGCATATTTTCCCCCTGCACGCCATCTGCAGTGGCTCTTTGCCACACAGTTCGAGAACCACTGCAATATGGTGTCACAGATTTTGTACTAGAGTCATGCCAAAAACTTGACTGACTGAAACCAGTAACTGCAGTAATTGCACCAGACAGCAGTGTTCATTCACAATACCAAGTAGAAACATTCACTTGTGATTATCAGTGCTCAGGAATGCTGGGCATCCTTCCAGTTCCAAAGCATTACCCAGAACTTTGTCAGAGGTTTATACACAAATGACCACTGATACACCACAACGATCGTCATCTATGTTTGAGGGAGAGAGGCAGAGAGGCAGAGAGAGGGTTGGAAAAAGGAGAAGCAAGAAGCAGAGAGAGGAA